AAAAAAAAAAAAAAGTTAAAAGAAAGTTCAAGAGTAAGAGGGAACATCCTGGTATATTCTGAAAGTTGACTCTGGGAAGAGAGGAAAACATGAGCAAACAAAAGCTGTCTCTCACTGGCAAGCGACTTCCTCTGGGGAATAATCTCTGTGAAGGAAAACTAAAGATCTGAATGTTGCCTGGAGCAGGCACAGAGGCATGGCTGTGGCTGGTAAAACAGGGCCTCTGGGATGAAGCCTTCCTGCCCATCGATGGGGATTTAGCCGCTCTGAGGGGCCATGCTCCTGCTGCCCCTTGAGTGGGCACCGTCTCCCCGTTCCTCAGAGTCCCAGCAGCTCTTGTGAACAGGCATGAATGGACCTGTAAGGTTCTGCCAGGCCCCGTGCCCCAGTCCCACTCTAACCTCTCTCACACACTCATGCCTTGCTTCCCCTTATCCTGTCCCAACTTCCCTTCGCTTCCCTTGTCCATGCCTGTCAATTTTCACGCCATGAATCAGAAGTCAGAGGCCCCCTCCGCCCCCAAAACTGGCAACTGGGCCTCCAGCCTTCTAGAAACTTATTTGTGTGCAAACAGACAAAGGACTCCCCCCAACCCCTCCCTGCACACCATCACAACTTTCCAAGATGATTGAGTTTTTCCCCTGTTCTGCTTGATATTTCTGCCAAAGCAAGAAAAATCCTCGTTGAAGTCTAGCAGGAAATCCAATAAAAATTCTTCAAAAGATGGGCTTGACATTGAAAAACAGCAAAATTATAAAATAGGCCTTAGAAAAGAGAGAGGAGAGTTATTATATCTGGCACCAAGCAAAAGCCCCGAGACCCCGTCCAAATGAGCCATCACAGATTGAAAGTGTTTAGCTTCCCGTTGATTAAATATGGAGAAGGACCCAGGGCCTGCCAAGCCTCGGGGATCCAAAGTTTGTTTTCAGTCAGAATGTGTTTTCAGTCAATGGAAAAAATGGTCGGCCTGCACTGGGCTATGTAACCGAGAAGCCCCAGGTTTGGGGTGAGTAATGGCTGTGAAGCAGAAAACCATGAGGGCTGTTAATCACCCCTCCCAGGCCCCTGTAATTTAACTCAGAGACTCGGTCGACTTGGAAAGCTCCCCCATCTCCTTTCTTCTCCCTCAGTTCACTTCGCTCCAGGGGAACAGATGAGTCCTTCTGACGCTTGTCTTTATATTTCAGTTGTTAAAACTCTTCACCCCAGGACACCCCTCTCCCAGTCACGCCCCCATTGCCCGCTGCTCTGAACACCCCCGGATACAAGAACAGAGGGAGGAACCGTGTTCACACCGGCGGGATTCTTCCAGGGAAATCTGTCCCGTGAGCTCCCTGGGATGGAGGCCTGGGCAGGATCTCTCCTTCGCCAGTGCCTTTCCAGGCAGCCTGGTTTTCAGAGGTGTTCACCGCCATTCTCTGAACTGGTTACCTTGGTCCAGCCTTACTGTTTGCTTTGTCCTGGGCTCTCATCTGCCCCACCACATGCCTTTACAATGAGGAGCATAGGAAGTCTCCTTCTGGATGTCATTAAAGTGCCCAGGAGTGAGGTTGGGGGGGTTGGGGAGAGAGAGGAGAATGTATGGCTGGTGGAGCTGGAGCTCTGAGGTAAGCAGAACCTCCTTTCCTGTCACATGCAAACACCTCCAAGTTTCACACCCTGTGATAGCTCAGGGGAGCAGGAGCAGGTGCTGGTGTACTTGGGATGCCTTCCTTGCGCTCCCCCTGGCTGCCCCTGGTTCCCCGGTATGGGCACCGAGCCTTCATTGGCACTGTGGGTCTCATCAGCTCAGCCTCGACACGGTCACCTTTCTGGATAACTGCTCTTCATGGTCCCACTGTGCGGAACTCTGTGGGAAAGTGCAGAGGAGAGGCGGGCGGGGCCTCCTCTGGGTCTCCCTGGGGTCCAGGATGGCGGTGGGCCTGAGCCGCAGCGTAGCTCAGCGTCCAGGCGGCTTCACCCAAATTTGGTTACAGAAAGTCACTCCGACAAAAGTTGTTTTGAGCACTAGGCTAAAGACAATGAGTACATAAATGCTTTAAAATGATGACATGTAAGTTGCTCAGTGGTTTAGTGGAAACAGATTCTTCTGTATGGACGGCGAGTCTTGGCAGTTCAGTTGTGGAAGACACGAGCCCAGTCAGACACCCACATGACCGATGGTGAGGGAGCAAGAGGGAGACGCTTCAGGGGCTTAGGTTGTCCTAAACAGCAGCTAAGGGAGTCTGGGCGGGGGGGAAATGGAACAAAAAGCTGTGGATAAGATGTAGCTCGTGCGTGCGCACGTGTGTGTGTGTGTGTGTGTGTGTGTGTGTGTGTGTATAAGGAAACAGAGATACCTAGGATGTCACCGTTCTTGGGAGGGAGATCAAGGAGGCTATTATAAGGGGAAGGAGGGCAGAACAGAGTCAAAGCTGGTCCTCAGGTACCTCCAGAGGTGCAACCCTCTGCCTTCACGTTCTTATAATCCTCCACCTCCTCACCGGCTACCATTTGTTGAGTGACTACCATGTGCCAGCGTTGTGCCCAAAGCTTTCTGTGCTCTCTAATGTAGGCCTTCCAGCAACTCCCTGGGACATGCCGCATCTTCCGCCTTCACAGTAAGGGAGCCGAGATTCAGGATTCAAAAGAGCACAGAGCTCGAAAGTGGCAGAGATAGGATTTGAACCCAGGTCTTTCTTGCTTCCTGCTCTGAACCCAAAAAGGCAATCTGGTGGGCAGTGTGTTGTGGACAGTTTTTCCAGGGCCCAGACATTTGGAGAGAACCCAGTAAGGTCCACATCAAAGATTCCACTTCACAAAGAGAAGAAAACCAGCAGCCCCATCAGGTGGGGAGTCTGCATTTCAAACAGCCATAGGGGCTGCTGAGTGCCTCATGGGCAGCAGCAGGCCCAGGTTGAAAGGGTCAGTGGCAGGTCACTGTCACCATCAATCACCCACAAGCCTTTTGTCTGTAGGGGTGAGCAGGATGGGGCTGGGCTGGGCACCAAGCAGAGAGGGTGAACCAACAGAATGTAAGGAATTCTGTTGGTGGCAGGAGGTGGGAAGGGGCCTTTGGAACTTTAAGGGGTATTATCATGGTTTGGGGAGTACCCTGGTTTGGAGAAAATGTGCTGGCCCTGGGTCCTGGGGCTGGGCTGGTGAACAGCATTCTGGTGATAAGCTGGTTCATCCTGATGCTGAGTTCCCCCAAGACTAGACTTATTATATATCCACCCATCCAGTTTTGAGTGCCACATCACCACAGTTCCAGAAGTTACCAAGATACCTGTTATTATATTTATGTTCAGAGAAACTTACAGTTGGGAGAAATATATACATGAAACATAATATATAATAGTAGGGGCAGTGCCATGTGGGCAGGAAGCTCTGGGGAGAGGGTAGATTGGGTGTGATGAGGGGCGAGGGCTTTCGTGAGCAGAGGTCGGGGGTGAGACTGATCCTGGGCTGGGCTGGGGAGAGAGAATGAGTCTGACTGTGGGGCGAGGTGGTCATCAGGGAGCAGTAAGAGTGCAGCCTGTGGGCAGGTGGGCCTTGAATTTGGCCCATTCCGTCTTAGGAGGTGTGGTCCCTGGGTGGGGATTTGGAGCTTAGACCTTGTATGGCATAAAGAACAAAGTACAAGGGACCCAATTCCAGGCCCAGCTCTGCTTTTGGGCATCTTACTCAAGGTCGCTCAGCTAATCCATCAGCCTGGATTCCAGCTATCTCATTTTTTAAGTACAAGGATTAGGCTAGATGAACCCCTCTGGCTATAAAGTCTGTGGTTAAACCCACAGGGTTTTTGAGGAGGATTGGGTAGAAGAAACTGGAGGCAGTGAAAACTCAGCGGGAGAGAATGCAGAGCTAGAAAGGATCTTAGAGACCTCCTCCCTGCTCTGTTTTACAAGTGGGGAAGTAGAGGCACAGAAAGGGTAAGTGTTTTTCTCAAGCCGCACAGCTCATTACTGGCTTTGACACCTTGGTCTGCCAGCACCTGCCCCCCTTCAGGCTGGAGCTGTGAGGAGCTCAGCTGGAGCAGGGACGGAAAGGTAGGGCAGGGAGGCTCAGCCTGAGTGCTATGGGCCTTTCTTCCTGCCCATTCTGTCAGCACTGGCTAGGCAACTGTCCCCAAAGGAGCACAGAGCAAACAGAGCTCCCCGCCCTGGGTTCCAGGCCTCTCTCTGCCATGGCAAGACCCCGGCAGTTTGGGGATAGTCTTACACACTCATCTGTAAGATGGCAGGGCAGTGCCGGCTCTCGGCTCTGAGCTGAGGTCGTAATGTGCAAGAGCCACCGGCAAGGGAGACTGAAGCCTGAGGTGGGACCCAAGCCAGCGCCCGGTGGAGGCAGACCCCCCAGGGCCTGGGCTCAGAGCCCTGTTTCTCTCACCTCCTATGGTGGGGTGAAGGGGTGGTGTTCTGGCCTGAGCTGCAGGGCAGGGTACAGGAGGTGAGGCTGTGGAGAGCTGTGCTGAGCCCCTGACACTTGAATGAACCTCCCTCCCAGGTTCTTATTAACACTCCATGTCAAAGGAGTCTGGTAAAAGTTAACAGGCCTCCCTGCCTCGAGGAGATCAGAGGGACAACTGGAGCTTACTGGGGTCAGGGAGAGGTCATTGAAACCTGCTTGATTGGGCAGTCACTGGGGCTGACCCTGGTCTAGGGGCCTGTCCTGCCCCCTCCCCTATATCCAGAACCCAGGGTTCCTGCCAGCATGGCTGACCGGAGCCCTCCTTTTTCTGAAAGCCCCTTGGAAAGTGTCCTAGGCCTTCCTGAGGGGGCCCCCTCTCTGCTGGCCCTGCACCTTCCCTAGCTCTGGGCACAAGTGAGTGTATGGAGGGAAGGAGATGCAGTGGCCATGAGCAGGGTGGCTCTGTGGAAGAGATGCTGGCTGGTCTGGGCCTGGGCTGGGTCTGGCCAGGTGTGACCCTGGTCTCTGACCCCTGATGGCCCAGAGGGGGAGAAGATGCGGGTTGGAGTTGGAAGGAGGCTGTTGGCTAACATTTACCAGGACCTTTGAAGATGTAAATGTTTCCCCAGGCCCTGCTGGGATTGATGGGGTCAGAGTTCACAGGCATGGTTGCCTGCTTCTCCAAGTGGGTTGGAAATCTTACAGACAGATGGGTTAGGGTACCCTGTGATGGGACTTTCCCCAGAGGCAGAGGGCTCATGGGAAATGCTATTTTTTGTGTTCTCCTGGATCAAGTCCAGTGACTTGGAGTGTCTGACAGAGCTGCCTTTTTCAAATGCTCACATTGCTCTTGGGTATGGTTTCCAGGGTATATTTGGTCCCACTGTCACTGGAAGGTCTGGGAGATAACCTCCATGTCCTGCCTCATTCTGATTTGTACTTTTTATTCTACAAATGCTAGATTGCTTGAGGTTTCCTGTTCATACCATGATCATCATGGCTGGTGTCCTTCCTGTGGTAGTTGTTCTGCAGGCGTGCCCTTCCGCACCTTCTCAGCATGGCTAACTCCTGTTCACCCCTCTGCATCATCTCTTCCAGGAAGCCTTCTGGGAATGGAATTTGCCTCTCTACCTGGTTCTCCTGTAGCATTCAAGGACTCATTCAATCAACTAATATTTATGTGGTATGTACCAAACCAAAATCCTTCCCTCAGGGAATTTAAATTCTAGAGGGCATCGATAGTGACCAATTACATACACGATTTTAAATGCTGTACATGTGTTAAATTTAATCCTCAGAGCATTCCTATGAGTTAGATCAATTATTACCTACATTTCACATGAGATTACACAGCTGATAAGGGACATATTTAATTTTATTTAATCCTTACAACAACCCTATGAGATAGATGTTATTTTCCTCATTTTACAGATGAGAAGACCAAGACTTAGAAGGGTTCAGAGACTAGTCCAAGGCGATTCATCCAGTAAGTAGTAGTACCAAGCATTATAATGTTTAGTGTGTCTCCTTAAAACACTACTCTGTGTTTCTGTATTGAAGCAGTTTCTCTCTCTGTTAAAATGATCTGCTCACCTTCTCCATCATCCCAAGAGCTCCCCCAAAGCAGTGACCTTGGCTTCTTTATGTGTATCCTTTGAACTCCCATTGTGATGGGCACTTAATTGGCTCCAACAAATACTTGTTGATTGATTGATTGACAGCTGTATGTGGGAGGCGATGAGAATAAGGCAGCTAATATCTGTGGCACACACTCTATGCCGAGCAGTGCATTGGTCCTTGCTCAGCATGATCTCTTCTAGTCCTTACAACAGTCAAATGAATTAGCTGTCACTATTCGGAGGCTGGCAGCTAGTATGTGCTAAAGATGGGACTTGAATCACAGGTTTCTCTGACTCCAAAGCTCCATGTCCTGTCTTCTATGCCACAGGAGGCTGATCAAAGGGAAGGTGACCACTCTGAAGACATTTGAACCCCAGCCTCTGGGTTCTTGCTGTTCCGGCCCCCACAGGGCTAGGAGGCCTTGGGGAATGCAGAAGGGCAGGCCTGCAGTGCAAGGGGCTGTGGCCACGGCAGGCTGAAAGACATCTGGAGAAGTGGAGGCTTTGGTGCCAGGATTATTCCCACCCATTAAGAAGTTTGAAGTAGTTAAAGGGAGTGCTCGGGCCTAAGGAAGGTGTCCAGTGAGTTTTTACAGACTGTTGTGGAACAGTTCTCTGTTCCAGGGAAACAGCCGGATTCAGACGAACCCTGCAGATAGCACTGGCATTTGCCATGGAAGGAGGAGGGTTATGGCAGAACAGACTTCAGCCTTCAGGCCTGGAGCAGAAATGGGAGAGTTCCTGCTCTGTGTATTTTGGTTCCTTTGTTCTGACATCTGTTTTTTTTTTTTTTTTTCTTCCCCCTTTCTCAGTTAGGAGGGGAGAGCAGAATTGAGTCTTCTGAGTCATCTGCCCATAGGGCTTAGCAGGCTGGCCAGCTGGGTATATGTAAAAGGAGAGGGGCGTGCAAGAGACGGACTCAGGGTCACACAGCTGAGCAGGGGACCAGAGCCTGCCTCTTGGGCCTCCCAGGTTCTTACTCTTGCCATCAGGTGTCATTCGCGTCTGGAGCCTTGGCTCTTACAGCAGACAGCCATGTCAGATTTCTCCCACCCCCTTTGGTTAATCCCCTATTTTGCTTGACTAAGAGTCAAAATGCAGGACTGCACCCACATGAACTAGCTCACTTAAACCACTGGCAGGTAATTTGATAGACGAGTTGGCCAGCACTCACTGCGGGGATTTAGCAAAGCCTGAACTGTGGAGACAGTGGGAAACAACCTTGAGTGACTGGTCAGCAGGTGGCCTTGTTTCACCCAGGGAAAGCCCCAGCCTGAGCTCTACAACTCAAATTGGAAGGCTGGAGTGTGCCAGGGGTTGGTTGACATTTGTCTCTCAGCCTCTTGCTCCAAAAAGCAGGACCAGCAGACCCTTGCTCCTTGCTCTCACTCACTTGGGGTTAGAGTGTCTAACTGTTGAGGAGGGAATGAGCAACTGTGTCCCACCAGCTAGGGCTTCTTTCCTCCAGCCCACCCAGGTAAGAACTCCAGCAAATGACCTCGTCGGTTGAGCTCACTTGTTTGTTGAGCTAACTCAGAGGGAACAAGGGTCTTTCAACAGATGGGAGTGGTGTTGTACAAATGGGTGTTTTATGGGCCATGTGCAGCAACTGACCGCTTGTGGAAGGCTGCACCAATCTGCAAAGGGGTCTGTCGCAGAGGAGAAACTTCTACGTCCTTTCATCATGATGGGGATTGTAGCTCTGACTTCAGATAAGCAGAACAAACAAGCCTCTGCCCAAGTGGGAACTGGTTCTACCCCCTTTCTTTGCTTTTCTAAGTCATCAAAGCCAAGTTCCTAAAGCCTGACTGTCTCACGGTGCTTTCTGATGGTTTCATTGTTTTGTTTATTGTGCTTACGACAAGTGCTAACAGACCGCTTTCAAAGTGTGTTGATATTTCGGTTGTTTTTGAATGGCCCTTCTGTTTTCCTGCATCTGGACAGCATTAGAATCTGGCCTCAGGGAACCACTGGGTTCCTATAAAAGTGTACCAGGTCCCTTTTTGCCTAAAACATTGGTCATGGCAAGATCAGACACCCCATCTGGGCAGGAACAAACACCAAAAACTAGAGCAGAATCATGAGACAGTATTCAGCAGCCAGGGCAGACAGGCTTGTGCTGGGCAGGGGCCAGTGAGCCTTGCCAGCTGGACCGTGGGTGTTCTTTCTGTCCATGGACATATTGTGATCTTCCCGTGGGAGGACTCTACCTAGCAGTGTCTGGCACAGGATGATGACACTAAAAGCTGGTCATTGACAGGTTCCCTCTGTCTTTGTCTTCTCCCAGGTTGCCTGGTCAACCACTGGCATGGTGTCCAAATAGAGGGCTCCCAGGGACTAGCCAAGGAACAAGAGCTGGAGGAGGGAGAACAGTATGGAGGCCAGGGGAGGACCAGAAGAAGCAGGGCAGCCCCAGGGAAGTCTGTTACAGCTCCTGACCTGCTTCCCTTCACAGCTCTCTTGGGAGGTCTTTTGCTACATTTCACAAAGTGTTAAAGTGGAAAAAGGTGGGGTGAAGTGTCCTCCTAAGATTCATCTTTGGTTTCCAAGGCCTCTTCCTGCTCTGTCCCAGCCCCATGCCTTGCCACATCCTGTAGTAGAACTGGCTTCTTCTAGTGTGAGAGAATCTCAGGGTAGAGACTGGGCTCAGATGGAGTGAGTTACACACACAATCTCCCTTTATAGGTTTGGCACAAACTCTAATTCATTTCTTCAAGACCTTCTCTATTTTTCTCCTTTCAAGCTGGATGAGCTGTTCTGTAGCCCATGTACTTTACCAGCTTGTAAATGGTTTTCTCTTGTTTGGTTTCAGGAATAGCAGAGCCCTTTTTTGACTGGCCTCCAGATAACACTGTGGCTCAATTTGAGCAAGCCCTTGCCTTCACCCCCAGATTTAGCGGGCCTCCTGAACTTGCTCTGAATCAAATGAGATTGAGATTGAGATTGAGGGGGCTGACAGTGAGTTTTGGTGCCTCCATATTGCAGTAGAGGGGATCTAGATAGTCCAGAGGACAGAAAGAGTTAGCTCTGTCAGTTGGTTCTCAAACAGAACCATGGGAGGCCTGTAGATCTACAGTTAGTGTGTTCTTGCATATAAGCATGTTGAGGGATACATGGTCTAATTGACTAGCGATGAATCGTCTCTACTCATTAGGCCTCAAAATTTTTGACTCCTTTATGGTGACACTCCCTAGCATTTCTTTCTAGGAACACACTAACTTGTTAAAAATTCTCATTTAGAAACTTGTCCTGCTCTAGATCTTTTTCCTTAAAGTTTTAGCATCCTTAGAATTGTATAGTTACTGCACTTACTTTAGGTCACCTGGGACACCCAATAAAGCACTCAGTAGCGCATTTTGTTTTTCAGGAGGTGCATTGGCTCTTGGTTCTGGCAAGGAGACAAAGAGAGACTCTGAGGCCAGGGCCAGGTATATCCCACTGGGCTGGGCTCACCGCCCTCAGAGAAGTGGAACATGCCCTCCACAAAGGCATGAGTATTCTGTAAGGACACTTCCTGTTTCCAATGCACTTCTCTAGGTAGGCAAGATAGGGAACTGTGGTTTTCTGTCTGCCACCAAGTGTGTGCGTGTGCATGTGTGTGTGTGTGTGAATGCTTGTCATTTTGAAAAATTTTAAACTTTACATAGCAGTTTCTTTCTCACCAGGGTCTCTGCTTGTGTGAAACTTTAATTTTATAGCTTTGGCTGTTAATTCATCATGGGCACTACCATCAATAAATATTTATTGAGCTTTCACTGAGCGCAGCATGTTGAAATAAGACCTATACATTTGACTCAAGAGGAGTCAATAGCAGATGAGGGTAGATTTGGGGAGGGGTGGGAGGAACAATCACTGAGGTCTCTTGCAACCCTGAGATTTTTATGACTCTATAACTAAAGTGATAGGGTCCACTTGATACTCATGAGGGGGTCAGCTATGAGAGATGCCATGCAGGAAGTCACACTCAGAAACCCCACTCAGTGCTGCCAGCATGCATCTTCAAGCCCTTATGTCCATTTTGGGATTCAGGGCTGTAAAGGGGTGAGTGAATCTTCTTGACCTTTCCCATGGTGCCTATAAAAGTAAATATTTGATTTTGGAATTTAAAAGGAGCATAGACCTTGGGGAAGTTTGGAGCCTGCTCATGCTTTGGCAGGAGAGGACCAAGTCCCCCTTTTTTGCAAGCATAGCAGTCCCAGCCTGGGAGGGCCCACTTGGTGGGAACCCCAAAGTGAGTGGGCTGGAAGGATGACTGCTGGAGGGGGAGCTGTGTGCCTCTCATGATCCCTAGTTAATCAGAGCACAACAGTGTGCCTGCCACAGCAGTGACTCAGGCCTCCTGGGGGGTTTTCTTCAACATTATGAAGATGAACACTGCTCTAGGAATTCCCTTCAGACCTGGGCTTCGTGCTAATTGCCACCGTATTTATGGGAAGGTGGAAAGACTATGTGGGAGCCTCTGCAGTCTGTGGGTGTGCTCCAGAGAGCCACCCAGGCTCTAGCTGGAGTTGTGAAAAGGTAGATCTGAGCTTTAAGGGGTAAAGACACTACTCGTGTCAGGCAGGCAAGCTATTATTATTAATTATTATTGCTATTACTATGATTCCCTTTGTACAAAGAGAAGCTGGAACAGAAACCAGGAGTGGTTACATGCCCAAGGTATCACCATCAGACAGGGGAATTCATGGAGTCAAGGTAGACAGGAGATGTGGAGTACAGACCAGCTGCCTCCTACTTCACAGTTTTTTCCTGCCATGGGAGGGTAGGGTGCGGTGGGGTGGGTCAGGCAACCAGATAGACCTGAGCCTCTCTCTTCCGGTAAAAGATGATGTTCAGTGTCTCATGAGCTGCTTTTCCCTTGAGATTA